TGTTATTATTTTTTGTTCCTCACCTCAGTCCCCAGCACCAGCAATTATAATTGCTAGTGCAATAATAATAATAATAATAATAATAATAATAATAATAATAATAATAATAATTGCAAAGACTTTGGCACAAGCCAGTAAAGGTAGTCGCTGTGATGATCGTCACACTGGGTGCAGTGCCTAAAGACCATGGCCTGCACTTAAACGCATTCGGTGCTGACAAAATTACCATCTGTCAGCTTCAAAAGGCCACTCTACTGGGATCTGCACACATTACTTGCCGATACATCACACAGTCCTAAACACTTGAGAAGTGTCTGATGTGTGATACAATACAACAGCCAGAAGAGTGACCTTGTTTGCTGTGTACTAATCTCTTTGTGTTTCAAATAATAATAATAGAAACTTAGCCATTATCAGAACCTCAAAATTGAACTGCAAAAGCCCTGGCATAAACCAGTACAGGTGGTCTAAGTGTTAATCAGCACATTGGGTGCCAAGCCAAAAGATCTCAACTGGCATTTGAAAACAATAAACATTGCCAAACATGGACTATTTGGAAGACCACAGAAGATGTTAACTTAGAACAGCTTCCTCTCAGGTATGCTGTTTTTTTTTAAGTAATTGATCTGTGTTCTTTGAGATTCTTGCTACTTGCTTACAAGCCACCAGAGTTGAGAGCATGCCAGAATTTACATGTTTTCACCATCCTTCTAAAGAGAGGGTTTGATTATTATGAAGAGGGAAGAAAGGAGAGAAGAGGCTGAAAGAAAGGAGAAGAAGGTATAGGAGGGAAGTGGCTTCATTGGTCAGAAACATCAATGTTGTGGTTCAGTGGGAAGAAAGGGGTGTTTACTTTTCAGGGAAAAAAATGCTTGCTCAGTTTAGGCTGGGAAGGAAGGAATCCCCAGCGAGTAATAGTTAGAGTTCTGACTATCAATATCAATTTTTGAGATCTGGCAGGACTGTTCCCCTGAGATATCATACCAGTTTTGTGGGTTTGTTTTTAAGGAATTCAAGAAAATCGCATTATGATATTTTAGTATTGTCCATTTTGCAACTCTTTTTCAGATTTACCAGTATTTTGTGTACTTCCATGTTGTAATTTAATTATTATTACTCCAGAAAGAGGGTGAAGCTATTCAGATGCATAATATAATGTAGTATACTCCTCAGCAGCTCAAAAATGTCATATTTTATAGAGAGCAGCCATGAAATAAACAATACTTTTGCTTACAGTGTTGGGGATCTGAATAATTTAAGTGGAGTGGAGTTATAAAATGGTGTTTCCAACTAAATGGTCTGAAAAAAATGTATCAAACTGAGGCAGGGACAGTTTTTCAAATCATTCTAGATTAAAAGTGTGAGAGACTAAAACGCCTATAAATGTCAGAATACAGAATTAAAAATTACTTCTGATAACATGAAGGAATATAATACAACATGTTTACTTTAAAAATAATATGCAAATCATACTCTCATAGAGAGATGATAGGCATAGCATGATAAAATATGCATGTATATGGATACATTAAAAAGGCTTAAAATATGTAGCACGAATGAGAAGAACAAATGATAATGTGTAAAATTTCACCCATTCAAGACAGCATTTTTCTTCAAAGCCAAGGATATCTTATCTTTGATTTTATTTTTCAATAAGCTGTTTCAGATTGGTTCATCCTTAAATAAAACTAAAAATACTAAGCAGCCAATTATATTTTCAGATTAGTCTTTTGAGCCCGGGGTGGGGGTGGGGTGGATCTCTTCAAAATTTAGATTGTGTGAACCTCTTGTCCCATCAGTAAGTGCTGGTACTCACTGGAATTGTTGAAGCAGCAGAAGGTTGGATGTATGGTTGGATTCACTGCAGAAGCACTGCATTCTGCATGGGGGTGCAAGTAATCTAGTTTGTGGGAAAATGGGATTTACTTCGGAGCTTCCAGGAAAGGTAGCTTTACAACTCACCATATTGATTGTTTGCAGAATTGGAGCAGCAGTGGAACTAGTCTTCAACTTTAATCCCTGGCTACTTCTTCCCAAAATCTTGCCCTGGGAAAGAAGCATGATTTAAATCATGATTTGAAGCCACTTCTTGGCTGGCCCAACTGAACTGTTCCAGATGTGATTTTCACTCTGATCAAGTGGAATACAGATTTAAGAGATTTGCTATCATGCTCATTAGTCAATTAATTCCAGAGGAGCATTTGCTTACCGACTCTTTAGCCAGACTTAGCTATGTATGCTTTACCATGCAGGTGGTTTCTTTTGCACGTATGTAAGTTACTTGGTCCTTTGACACTGGTTTTGGGGGGAGGCAGGGAACATGGGTTGTGGATCTGGGACTTTTAAAACAAGTTATCTTTGGCATTGGTCATGGACCAGTCCTTGGGAGACTTAGGGTGTGTGGCAAATTCTCAGGATGATCCAACTTGGGGGCTGATGCATCTCCTGCACCCTCTAGGGGTAGCAGGGCAACTTGTGGGGGACATCCACTCTGCCATCTGTAAGTTTCAAGCAGTGGACCAGAGTTCATCAGTCAAACGGGTTGGTCAATGCCAGGATCTGGAACCATGTAGTAGAGCCAACGCATTTGCACAGGTGTAACCAATACAAGTTGTGATGTATTTTCCAAATTTATACTGAGTTTCAATGTTATTTTATGGCACTAGTTCCCACCCTTGAGCATGCAAGGTGAGATTTGTTCCAATAATAAAATTCCAATGTATGTAAGAAATAAGGGAAAGAGTGCAAATACATTTCTTGGTTTGAGCTTTCATTTCTTTATTTGACTGTCTGTGATTTAATCTATGTCCTGTTGCACTGATGTTCTTTCTTGGGTACAGAATAATGCTTGAAGCTCCAGATTACAAGAATACTGGCATTAGGAGATCATCTCTTTGTTGCTTATTTCTAGTCACCAAGAACTTATTGGGTCCGAATGTTATCAATGCCCACCCAGTTTCAGATGTTCTGAGTCCCCTTTGGGGGAGATAAAGCTGGGTATAAATAAATAGAATAATAATAATTCTTATAGTACAGCATTGAAGAAATACAGCCATGAATAGGAAAAGTTCAAGCTATATATCTTTTTAATTTATATTTTGGTATAGGACCCAAGGCAGTTTATGAGGGTTGAATGAAAAGTAATGCCTCCATCTTTATAACTCCTCAACAGATGGCAGTACTGGTATGTGGCAGGCACTGGCTTGTTCAGTAGACTCTCCTCTATAGTTCCAAAGGATATTCATCAGGGAATGCAAACTGTTTATGGTGATTGTGTTGATGTGTGTACTGTGTGTCATTGGGTGAGTAAGTTTAAAGATGATGAAGTGACACCTTCTGCTGTCAAGAATTCAATGACTGCACGTTGCTTAAGTCACATTGACTGACGGTCTGCGCACAGTTCCATACTTTGCACTTTAACAACACAACCATTCAATGCTAAGGCTTCCCACCAAAATTGAACTGTAGAGAAGAGTCTACTGAACAAGCCAGTACCTGCTGCATACCAGTACTGCCATCTGTTGAGGAGTTACGAAGATGGAGGCATTACTTTTCATTCAACCCTCGTACAACACTGATAAAATTAAAGTGGTATTAGAGAACTGAACAGTAGTTTACTTCCAGCAATCACCGTACTCCTTTTTCAAGGAGCAGTGATAATCAAAATACCACAGACAATCCAAGATACACTTCCTTTAATTCCTTGGATCAATATAGGTCATATGTCTGTAGAGTTAAAATTATAATGTTTATAGACTAATAGAAATACGAATTGAATTTATAGAAATTAATAAATGGGATCTCATCCTAAAATTGTTCAGTACCTTGGACAGCTCTTTTGAAGATCCAAAATCCTAAGCAGGTTAACTTCCTGGCTGGCCTCAGAACTTCTAACTGCTACAGATAGTGGTTAAGAAGACATAGTATCACCTCTGAATATACATTTCTGTGAGGTGCTGTATAGCAAGTAAAATATAACCTGAATTGCAACAGGAGAGCAACAGAAAGGCACAAGAGAATCAGTGTAGTTCAGTCATTGAATTCATGGGTTTTGATGTGAGAAGACTAAATTCAGTTTTTTATTTAGCTATAAAGTTCATGGTTAGCATCTAGAAAAGTCACAACTACTTTATTTATTTTGAGTAGTATAGGCTAGTCTTGAAATACTTCTCTGAGAAAACAGAAAATGAGGCATAGATATAAATTAGTGAAAAGTAATACCTAAGCAAGAGGAAGGGAAATCTCTAATTATAAGTTTGGATGGAATTCTTGTAGAAACTATCTTGAGATTGTGATGGAAAGCTCACTGAGACAGATTTCACTTGCTGCAGGATTGAAAGCAATATGCACAGTATTAAGGAAAGTGAATGGATTTAAACACAGAAAGAATCAATTCACAATGTCATTCTGGGGTGTCCAGACAATTGGTCATAATCTGGGATAATTGTATGCAAATTAAAGCTCCTTTCATTTCAGAAGGATCAGAGGAATATAGCAAATGATCAGGTTGTCATGATGAGGCAATCCCTTTAAAATGCTACCTGAAGCTGTCTCCAAGTACTATTTAGTAATAGCACTAGCTGCATACAAAAAGTTTCCTGCTTTTGTGCCAACTGTCAGCATAAAATGAGGTGCAGAAAAAAAGTCACCCCATCTAGCAGATCACACAGAGAATTAGTTTATTATCGGTAACAAATGTTTAGTATTATCTCTACTTCTAATTAATTTTAGTTGCTTTACAGTGAATAAAATCCTGGGAAATTTGGGGAAAATCTTTTTGTTTTAAGCATCAACAGACCTGACAGTGTTGTTACCTATTTTTTCTAAATCACTCAAGCTTGTTTAAAAGTCTTTGTGAAACAATAAAACCAGCTTTGAGATTCACATTGTTGCTTTTCATGTTTATCTTCAGCCATGTATTTGGAAATATCGCCTTAAAGTTTTGCAGTTTCTGAGTCCTACCCTGTTCATTTTGTGTGTTTGTTTCTGTCCTTTGACAGGATGATGAAGTGGTTCTTCAGTGCACTGCTACCGCTCACAAAGAACAACAGAAATTGTGCCTTGCTGCAGAAGGATTTGGCAACAGGCTTTGCTTCTTGGAATCCACTTCAAATTCCAAGGTACCACAAGCTGTCTTGTTCTAATGCTGTTTAAACAGTATTAACCTGCCTGCCCTCCTCCTCCTCTTGGAATGTTTCCCTTTTCAATTCAGATTAAATGTTACTAGGAGGCAAAGATGAACTGTATGCTAGCACTTCATGTATATCCTTTATGTAATCTATACTAGACTGATATATGCCACAAAATCTCACAAAGGGGAAGATTTATTTTATAAAGGTCAATTCTGAATACTTTGACAGATAAAATAATTATGTATGGATGCCCTGACTAAGATTCATTTATGAATTTGTTTTTTGTTCACTAAATTTTCTGTAACTGGTTTTTAAAATTAAAACTCATATAGAGTACATGTGAATTGTAACATTGTGTGAGAGGGCTTTAGTTTATGTGACAGCATTCGGATTTCTCTTCATTGCCACTAAGGTTTGTGTTCACCTCTAAAATCTGGAGTCTTCCAATATGCCAAAGCATATTTATTTGGAGTACAAGGGGATTCTGCTGGTGGACACCTTTCTCTTGGCAAATGGGTGCCCTTGGATGCAACCCTATCTATATGCATGAAGACTGTGTTCCAGATACTTGGTATTTCATTGATGCATGTTTGCAGGAATTTGTCTTGTTTTTTTGAGAGTGTTAAATTAACTCTGCCAGTTGAAAGCACTCAGAATGGAAAGGGAGGTTAAGTAAAATAAATCTTATCCCGCTGACATTTTGCCTTACTGATGTGTCACTGCATCTAATGTGACAGATGCTGCAAGCAGGTGGTACCAGTGTATTAATAGTGAAGATAAAACTGTATTCCATCTATTCAGGCTGCAGTACAGTGCACAGTTAAGACTGCTTAATTCTCATCCAGTTCAGTGGAACTGGTGCAAAGTTAGTATATTTTAGCCTTTATATATATATCTTACTGAGGTTATTGGTATTTGTATTATGTAGTGTGGTCTGCAGAAAGGAAGACTTGGTGAAATGAACTTCAAATTCCTTTGTACTGAGTTCTGTCAATCTCATTATTTGTATCTTGAACTGGCTTTACTGGACAATCCTTAAATACATTACTTGATGGAGAAAAACCAAAAGAAAGATGATTATAATTCTTAAGCAAACCATCAGTTATCAACTTCATCCTGCTGACCGTGAAAAGGGGGTCAGGAAATATAATGGAAATTTGCTACTGGAAATCCATGCATAGGCTTTGGCAGCACCTAAAAATAATGACAGCAATCCTAATTTGCACTTGTAGCTCATATTTAGCGCTTCTCCCTCACCCTACATACTTGACCTTCTTATGTTCTGACTCGGTATCCTTCTTCATTATCTTTCATTAGCCAGGGCAGTATGGCAGATGCTATCTGGAGACAGCCAAGTAGACAAATGGTTGCAGGAAAATCACGTCATCCTGGATGTTTGGAGGATATCTGAAAGATCCAGGAAGAGGACTTGTTTGTCCTGCAGGTGGCTGGAGGAATGGAGATATGTTTTTTGTTGTTTATTCATTTAGTTGTTTCCGACTCTTCGTGACCTCATGAACCAACCCACACCAGAGTTCCTTGTTGACCATCACTACCCCCAGATCAAGCCAGTCACTTCTAGGATACCACCCATCTATCTTGTCCTTGGTCAGCCCCTCTTCCTTTTGCCTTCCATTTTCCTCAGCATCATTATCTTCTCCAAGCTTTCCTGTCTTCTCATTATCTGGCCAAAGTACTTAATCTTTGCCTCTGAGATTTTAAAACTTGAATATGGGACTGCCCAAAAGAATTAGGGTTGAGGTATCAATTTTTCTTCCTTCAAATTCCCTCAGTATACTTTCAGTTAAATATATTATCTCCCTTATGGTGCAGTCTAATGTTTTATTTTCAGTAGATCATCATTTTGAATGTATTATTCATAATCATAAAAATGAACTGGAATATTAATGATTCATTATAATAGCAGTGATCCTGATGAATCCATCATGCCTATTCTCTTGTAACTCAATAATTCCTAATACTAAAATATGAGAGAATGAAATTATGAACAATATTGGACAATAAAAATAGTATAACAAATAAACTGTAATTGAACAACAACTTTATTTTTCTAATTTCTTCACTGTGATATATACTTAATATGTCAAAGCATTTTAACCAATTTGTTAATTAGTTTTATAACGTCTTAAGGAGAGAACATTTTTCTGATACAAGATGTTTGTAACTATAGTTATTGAAGCAAAGAAACAATGGCAGATGAGCTATTTGTACATTAAAAACTTACAAGCAGTCCAGTTTCTGTCATCATTCCTCACTGAGTTACTGAAATCTACCAGTTGACCTTATAACTTTCTTCGTCTGGATTTGTCTCTGTAGGGAAAAAATGGGAAGTGAAATTCAATGTAGGAAAGGCAGATACAAATGTAAGTAATGGATCATAAGGAAGGATGCAGGTAGAACTGGGGGTATATGTCAAAAGTGAAATACAGACATTGTTCAGCCATCTGTAAATATTACTATACTGTACTATTGTGTCATAAAGCTTAGTTAATGAAAAAAGAATGAGATAGCAATTTCCCAAATATTCACTTTGTAGTTGCATTGATTTAGGGAAGAGCTTGTCTTGACATAGGTATAACAAGTGACTTCCAATTCCGATAAACAACTTAGGAAGCAACTCAATGGGTCAATTTCAAATAATAAACACGTGTTAGTATACAATAAGCATGTTTCAGTGAGTTGCTCCCTCTTTGAACACTTTGAACCAAGGGCAAAATGAACAATTAAGTAAGATCTCGTATCTTTTAACAGCTTCATAATGATCTGAAATATGAGCGGTGACTTGCCCAAGTTTATATATTGTTTTTTAAAAAACAAAGAAAAGAAAAAAGAGAGCAGAATAATGTTATCCATGTAACTATTGGTCACTGCAGCCACATACTACTTCCTTAAATTCAAGGGTGGGAGGTAGGGATGGCAAATCCTTTTTTTTTGTCCCTTTCAGTTGCAGATAATTTGGGTTCTTTGGGAGCCACTGAAGTGATTGTCCCTGGACATATCCACACTGACCACTTAGGTCAATGTGCAGCTCAATCAGTTCCATAGTGACCAAACATCACACGGAACTGATCTGGGGTAATGCGGGGCAAGGCCATGCTGGATTGACCTTGAATTACTGGTCTTTGTAGATCTTTCCCCTGTTCTTGATAGTGATTTGTCCCCAGAAGAGTACCTGTACAACCTAGAACAGAGGGAATGGTGGTAAAGCCAGCAGTAGGTTCATAGCCCCTGAAGCAGCAACAGATGGATCAGTTTCCCTGATTGAACCAGGGTTTCCAGGTGAAAAAGTGAACAGGGCTCTTCTAACACTAATAGTTGTGCAGAAGAAAGAGCTTGAGCAGGAGTCCTTTCCAATTACATAATTATAGCACGTTGATCATATCTTACCTGCCATGATTCTGCCCAGTGGAATCCTGGTATTAGTAATTTCATGGAGTATTTCGGATTCTTAGTCAGATAGTGATAATACATCTTCAAACTACATATCCCAGAATTTTGTATGAAGCCATGGAAGTTAAAGTAGAATCAAGTGGTATGGTTGTTTAGTGTGAAAGGGCTCCTAGCTTGAACCTATTTCCCATCCTTAAATCTTTGGATCTTCTTTTTCTTTCCCTCTGTAAAGTTTTCAATTCAACTGTAACTTAATCCTCCATATGATTTCCCTGTGATTTTTTATACATCCACACTTGCATTTTTCTACTTGTCAGTTCCAAAAGCAATATTCCAGTTGTTGTTGTTCATTCGTTCAGTCGTCTCCGACTCTTCGTGACCTCATGGACCAGCCCACGCCAGAGCTCCCTGTCGGCCATTACCACCCCCAGCTCCCTCAAGGTCAGTCCAGTCACTTCAAGGATGCCATCCATCCATCTTGCCCTTGGTCGGCCCCTCTTCCTTTTGCCTTCCACTTTCCCCAGCATAATTGTCTTCTCTAGGCTTTCCTGTCTCCTCATGATGTGGCCAAAGTACTTCAACTTTGTCTCTAGTATCTTTCCCTCCAGTGAGCAGTCGGGCTTTATTTCCTGGAGGATGGACTGGTTGGATCTTCTCGCAGTCCAAGGCACTCTCAGAACAATTCCAGTTGTTAAGAGTTATTAAAAAGGCAGCATCACAGGTAACAAAATTAGCCCTCCTTTTCATCTGGTGTGAAGCATATGCAACACCATAAAATATTTTGACAACACAGTTTTTCTGCTGTTGTTAACTCTGTTTATTAAAACCGAGCCCATTCCTCCTTATTAAATTATAAGATGTTACAGCAAAAATATCTGCTGCTGAATTCAAATGTTAGGAGACAGATAATGCATCACATGGCATGCATTATTTATTTATTTATTTATTGTATTTACTTTATTTCTATACCGCTTTTCTCAGCCCTTAGGCGACTCAAAGCGGTTTACACAACAATGCAAAATATCACAAAACGGTATAATGCAATTAAAACATATTATAACATCAACAGTTAACAACAGTATAACAATCAAAGCGCCTCAACAATAAAATCAGAATCCACTCTCATTATCCATTGTTCCGTATTCCTATGTTCAATTTCACTGTTTAGTCAAACGCTTGTTCGAATAGCCAGGTCTTCACCTTCCTCCAAAATGCCAACAGTGAGGGGGCCGATCTGATGTCTGCAGGTAGGGCATTCCACAGCTGAGGGGCCACCACTGAGAAGGCCCTGTCTCTCATCCCTGCCATTTAGTTTTATGTGGATTATATATAATGTATGTGAATATATATAAAAGTGTTTTGAACAGCGTTGACCTCTTGCATTTAAATTTCAGCAGCATTCATTGACTGTGACAATGTTATTTTGAAAAATTAACTTGGTGCAAATCCCTTAAATATTTATGGTAGAAAAATCCTAGTTGCATGTTATACAGTACAATGGGCTTCTATTGTTTTCATTCCTTATATAGAAAAAGAACCCTTTGTCTTAATTCCCTCATTGTATGTATGTGTAGGAA